GGCCCCCCCCCCCTCCCCAAATAAGAGGAAGAAGGCACTGCTGGAGAAGCCCACGGCTGTCACTGGGCATATTGACAGACAGAGGTGAGGGGGGAGGGATGCTCACTTTAAGAGGTGATCCTCCTAGACCACAGAGGATCTTCCAGAAAAGAATGAGGGTGGAGGAGTTCTGTGTTCTGGTTCCGTCCTGCGCCCCCACTGTCTATTTGAGGAAAACCGACCACGGCCTGGCCACAGCCATCAAGACAGAATAAATGGCAAGGGCAGCTGTTGTAGCCCATCTGTTCCTCAATGTCACTTCCAGCTGTCTTTCTGATATTCGAACCCTGTGCTCATTTAAACCTCCCTCCACCAGGCTCTGCGGAATGCTTGCATGGCAGGATCCCAGGTACTGTGGCCCGCTCTCTCATCACTTGGGCTTTTCCCACAAGAACAAATCAGTGAAATGCACTTTTTAAAGAAATGATGGTTGAGATCAACGTCACCAGCACGGGATTTTGTGAACCATCACTGGCGTTGCATACATCACTATTTTCTGACCATCTTATTGAGGTTCAAGGGAGGAGGGCGTCCTTCTCATGAGAAAGCAGAGGGTGTTCTTATGAGTGCCCTTCCAGAGAAGCACCTGGCCTGTGCTCCTAAGTTGATGTTGTCAATAAGCCTTTGTTCTGCTAGGCACAGTAGCTGGGCCCCAGTAACCAACCCCAGCAGCTGACCATGCTAAGATGGCACCTGGCTGTTAGATGAAGACAAGAGCGGGCGATCCACAAGATGCTGGCCTATCCAAGGGGAAAGGCCCAACAGGCTGAACCTGGGACTTACCCATGGTGCCATCCCAGTTACCAGATTTCTGTGGACAAACTGAGTGCTCCTTGTCCCCGAGTTTCCCTAGTGAAGTCAGAATGCCACGGACACTGGCTGGAAAGAGGTCTTACTTGAGCTATGCATGGGTGTGACCTGCTCTCCCACCCCCTGGCCTGGGTGCCAGCTGTGCTCTGCTCCTCTGCTGGCTGGATGGATGGATGGGAAGAATGCTCTGGTCTACTTCTGACAGAGTTAAACTCCCCAACACAGACTACTTGTCTTCTCCCACCTGCACTGGGTCAATGTGAGAGGCAACTGCACCAAGATGGTGGGCAAGAGCCTGGGCTTTGCCCCAGACTGACCAGCCACAGTCATGTGCAAGTTCTCAACCCTTGTGCCTGAGGCTTGTTATCCATAAAATGGGCATAACAAGAGCCCTTGTTAACACTCATCACAGGGTGGTGAGTATTAAATAAATAATACTGGGTCGTTGGAAAAGTCATGAAGTATTTTCTCTGTGATTTTCAAAGGTGGTTTATTTATATAAAGAATAAAGACCAATCAATGATATACTGCCAGTTCTGTTTGATATCCTCTTGCTATCTTTCAGTGCACTTCGTAACTTCTCGTTCATAGAAGGACCTGTCTTTATCAGTGAAAAACTGAACTAGGTGCAGATTTACAGCCTCATCTGAATTGAACGTTATACCATGCAAAGTTTTGAAGAAAGCGAAACAAGTGGAAGTCTGACAGCACCAGGTCAGGTGAAGATGGGTGCGGCTACACAGCCCATCCAAGCTCCAATTATTCTGACAGGTCCTCAAATTTGTCATTGTGTTGCACTGTCATGATGGAACACAACTCCTTTACGATCAACGGGCTCTGGACACTTCTGGATGATGGACTCATCAGAGTGTCCATGTGCCAGCCGTACACATTCGATGGGTTATTTGATTCCTTGTGGGAGCTCAAAAAACATGACACCTTTAAAATCCCAGCACACTGAGAGGACAACCTTCTGAAGGTCGTCTGTGAGGCTGTTTGCGGCGAACCATCGCATGAAGGTCAAGACCGTTTGTGCACCACGGTGTCACAAACAATCCACTTCTCGTCACCAGTTATCAGTCACTCCAGAAGAGGAGTGTTCCTCATGCTCAATGAGCATATTGCAGGTGTTTATATGTGCTGTCAAATGACCTTGAGTTCATGAGGAATCCAAATACTGAGCTTCCTTAGTATCCCAGCCTCTTCAGGTGGTCATAAAGGCTTGAATGATGGATGTTCAATGTGACTCGATCAATGCCTTTATTTTGTTGTCATCGACCTCAGTGGGCCTCCCTAACCAAGAAGTGCTGTTGAGATCAAAATCACCAGCACTGTTTTTGGGCTGAATTTTGTGAACCAACATGATGTGTGTTCTTCCCTTTACAGGAGTGAAACAGTAGTGAAAATGCAGTTTGGTCTTCCATCTTCAACTTGATGTTAAGATCTCCAAAATTCAACCAACTCCCTAAAGTGTTTTTTTTTTTTTTTTTTTTTTTTTTAAGACTGAAGCCATTTTTTTTTTTTTTTTTTTTTTTTAGACTGAAGCCTGAACTGTCAGCTATCAAATGACATAGCAATAACATAGACGTGAATGACTCTAGTACTTCCAAAAACGAACTAGCGCCATCTGTTGCAAAACTCCGTCATGACCTTTCCGACAACCCCAAACATGCCTGGCAGAGAGTAAGCACTAGGGCAACATCCTATTAGCTTTAGACACTACTATTATGCTACGGCACCTGCTAATTCTGCTCTTATCATATACTGCTTTATAAGCTGCAATTTCACATTATTTAAAAAGAACCCCGATGTCAATGCATGGCAGAGAATTTGTCCTCATTTCGAAATTCCCCCGGCCTGAGGCAGAAACATTTGGATCCTACCAGGGAACAATTTGGAAAAGAGGTGACGAGGAACCTGACGTCACTCAGGTGGTGTGGGTTTTGTCTTACCAGATTTATAAAATGGTCCCAAAATAGAAAAGCAACAGGTTCCTAGAGCAGTGCTTCTATGAACCCAGTTTATGGAACAAAGCCTGTGAGACGACATTTCTCTAGGATTTGATCGTAGCTGTCTGGGTGCACTGTAGAACAGACGTGCCACAGTGGGGTGGGGTAAGAGCACCCTAACAGAAAGATGCAGAGACCATGCCCTTCCACGGCTGTGGCACCACGTGACCTCCACTGCCCCAGCCCTTGCTCACATAGCAGAGCTGCACAAGGTGATGCCCATGGTACACAGCTCCTACTGAGGCAACGTGGCGCAAGACGTAGAAACCCTAGGGCTGGGCACCTCCGTACAAACTCCAGGAGTCCCTGTGTGGGGAAGATGGCGCCCTTCTAGAATGTGCCATCAGGTTGTGCTCAGTGACAGTATAGGGGAGCAGGCCTGTAGGGCAACACAGGTGGTAGAGAAGGCCAGTTTTAGGAACCTGGATTCAAACAGCACTTTTACTGCCTGCTTTGTGAACCTAGGCAAGCTTTGTCACATGTAAAATGAGGATGATATTAATAGCAACTTCAAGTTATTTTGAGAATTAAAAAAAGGAAAACTGTCAGGTTGGCCCCATGGCCTAGTGGTTAAGGGAACAGGATCCCACATGGCCAGCCATAGTTTCAAGTTCCAGACCAGGTGGCTTGAAATATATGCCAGAAACATATGTCTACATGCCCCAAAGCCCAGGAGTTGGAGAAATAGAAGAGACTATGGCGTGACCATGTCCTATGGGGGAGAGAGGGTGCTTTCTCCCTCTGTCTCTCTCTGGTAAGTACATGTACCCTTTGACAAATTAAACAGAGAAAAGGAAAATCGTTTAAAAATACGCTCAATGATTGCCTGTCAGGAAATGTTATGTTACGTAGATGCTATCCGACAGTTTGATAAAATGTGGCAGCACGATCCCAGGTGGTCCAGGCCAAACAAAAAGCCTCTCTGGGACACCTACATGGAGAAAGGCCACCACTGTGGGCTCACAGAAACAAGGGAGAGCTCAGCACCTGGAAATTTCTTTTATCACTTAAAAATTGTTATTTTGTTCATCTCTCCAATTTTTGTACTGGACCAAAAACAGAAGTAAAGGAGGGCTGGACAGCTAGATGTTTCACTTGGTAACTTGTCAAGCATTCATGACATTCAGAAGCACACGCCACAAGGGAGAGCTGGCCTTCTGTGAAGGCCCTGCTGAGAGGCACTTAATGCCATAACGAAGGAGGGACCCTGTGTCCCACGTGTCCAGTGTGTCCTCCAGACTGATTAACACCCCACACCACCACGGTGGAGGTGTGATGAGGCTGAGGGGCTTTGGGCACCCCCAGGGTGTGCAGCAATGGAAGACATCCCCCAGTGCCTGGAAACGGTCATTCTGAAGGCCCCTCCATCTTCTCCTCTAACCAGTGAAGAGGACTCTCTGCCATTAGGAAATGCCACAGATGTGGCACAGCCTAAGTGAGACCTGGAATGCAAAACTGTCAACTTCCCTGTCTGGCAGGGCCTTCAAAGGTATGGGGAGATTCTGTCCACAGTAACTGTAATCCGACTCCAAGCAGAGCCACACAAATGCTCATGCACGAGAAACCCAGCCCTATCTACGGCAGGCTATCTTAATCTCCCACTTTACATAGAAACATGTAAATACGCTGTACTTAGGACAGTTAATATTGCCAGGTCACCGAATTAATAAGACCTAGCATCAGCTCTGATATCTGTAAATGCAGTTCTACACAAACAGATAAGTGCACAGCAAACAATTAAAATTTTAAAAAAGCTATCACAAAATGAAAACATCAAGATACATGTAAACTTAATTTTTAGTGTAGACTCCATAAATTACAAATTTTAACTCTCAATAAGACATTTACTGCAAAAGTCCTCATTACATACTGCCAATTGTAACTGAATGCATAGGCTTTCAAAAGTGCCCGTGCCTTACAAGGGAGAAGACCTAACTACCTTCCAAGATGCACGTGAAGCCTGCAACTGCAAACTCAAAACACCTCTTGATTCTTATCAGAACAGCAGCTTCAGCTTGATGCTTCTTTTCAGAAAGGTCGGCCCTGTGTGGGACGTTTAATTCAAGTACCAATATAGAGATCTAACTGAGAATCTCGAGCATGCTACGGACACAGTTGAAGGTCAGAAGCCTGGAGATGAGGATGCGTGTGCAGTTGCTTCCTCACGTTGCACTCTCCCGCATGCAGTGACTTACCTGCTCGGTCATATAAAATGTGAGACCGCTGGAGGCCTTCCTTCACATCGTTCTCAGTGACCAGAACTCTACTGGGAGAATAGCTTTGCCCGCTCTTCTTACAGAACATCTTCCTAGAGCTTAACCTGGCCAACACCGCCAGCTGCAGTCCATTCAGCCCAGCTCGGGCATCCCCGTCACTGAGGTAAGCCAGAGTGTCCACTGCTTTATCCTCGATGAACACGGAGGGCCTGTAACACAATAGACCACAACAGTTTCGGTCACACTTAGGTCACGTACGTCTCATTCTGCAGTGTGTCTTACTGAACCCACACTTCTCAGCATAGTCACCAATGATCTGCACTCAAGGCTTTTGCCTCTTATTTTAAACTCACGTTGTTAATAGTTAGGCATCAGGACAAAGAAGTGACTGTGTCTTAAGGGCCCATGAAGGTATCTCACTATATTTTATGGGCCACATGGATATTTCTCTGGATCTTATGAGTCACGTGGGTACACGTATCTACACTGTACGAGGGAATTGTACACTACGCAGGTTTACCTATTAAAGTTTGTGTGAAGCGGACACTGAATCTCCTCAAAGTTACTCTAGACACACAGTCACTCTGGTTCTACCCTACAAAATGGTAAAACTTCATTCAAAACACAAGCACCGGGAACCAGCAGTTAGCGTAATGGCTATGTCGCTGGACTCCCACGTAGTCGACCGCGGTTCGTGTCCCGGACCCGGTGGCTTAAAACTCACGCCGGGCGCGTGTGCGTGCGTGCCCAAGATCCCGAGAGGAGAATGGAGGATAAGGGATTGCGGCGTGACCATCCCCCCGGGGGGTGATTTCTCACTTTCTGTCTCTATGTCTCTCTCTGTCTGTCTGGGCGAGCGCACGCGCCCTACAGTGAAACCCCCGGGGGGTGATTTCTCACTTTCTGTCTCTATGTCTCTCTCTGTCTGTCTGGGCGAGCGCACGCGCCCTACAGTGAAAATCTCTCCAAAAAAAAAAAGAAAAAAAATTAAAAAAAAAAACCACAAGCACCTCACTGTTGCGTACGGAGAACGTGGCTCAGTCTGCTGAGACGAGTCTGCTTAGATGGTTCTCCACATAAAGAGACAGTATATCACACCCGAGCATTAGCTCTGAAAGGCTCCAGATCATGCGGTGCAATCCCTATTTTACAAACAACAAACCAGGTCCCCAGACACCTTGGGCACAGGAGGACTTAAGACCCAGGTCTCTTAAATCTTGGCCTGGGACATTTTCAGAACTGAGTAGGTTGCTTCACAGTGGGCATTAATCACACCAAATCTGATTCGCACAGGGTGGTTGAGGTCATAAACTTGGAAACTGCACAGAAGACTCTTCAAGAATTTAAGACCTTGGATAACGTTCATCTTTCTGAATGTTGGCACTAAAATTTATAGCCGCATTTCTAAATTCGGTCCTTCATAAAGAAGGCTGAAGTATGACTGGTTTTCAAGTCCGATTCAGCAAATTTTTCTATTACTAGTCTAGTCAGACCAGATATCTAACACAATTCACAACTTGAGGAGTCTTGGTAATTCCTGGCTGAGCTGCTAACTACATATTTGCAAAGCAAAAATAATTTTTCGAGGCTGAAATTTACCCATATCATCAACCACTTTCAGCTAAAAATATCTACAGTAATTAATAAGTCCATCAGGACTGGTTAAAGTGGTTACCTACACAACACACAAGCACCAGCTGGGCTGGGCTGAGGAGGGCGGTTCTGAAGTGGGTCCGGCTTCTTTGCTCGGATCAACACCAAATTCCTTACCATACACCCACCATACTACCTTGCCTGGTGTAGAACTTGAATAGCACAATTTGTATTTCATTCACTAGAAAATTTTCTTCTAGTATCTTAAAGACTGCTTTATCTTATTCTCTTATTTACCAAAGTCAGGATTTCCAGTGGTTTACTGTGGGTCTCTCATCACATGCAAGAAACCTGGCTTGTCTTAGCTTTATAACCAAATTCAGGCTGACCACTGACCACTGGGCCTGGGAGCCATCATTACAGCCTGAAGACCCATTCTCTTCCCTCCCTGATGGCTGCGGCCTGTAGGCAGAGACTTGACCAGAACACCCGGAAAACATACCCAGGCCACACACTGGCACTGTGTAAAGCCTACGGACCACTTCTTAACCAGAAATTGTTCAGCAGATTTTCTGGATGATGATTTGGAAGAAAACAATAGAACACATACTGGAAAATATTTAGGGAGACCAGCATCGGATGTGCTGGGAGGGACGGGGACACGCACAGCTGGTGTGTGCATGTGAACATGTGCTGGGAAGCACAACTGCCCGAACATCTCATTCCTGCCTAATCAACTACTATTAGGAATACATATTCATATTTATAATAATAAACTAATAAAAGGAATGCCTTCCATCCCTTGGGAAGCTTCCAAGCAATGAAAAGTCAGGAGGACGACTGAGGAAATAAAAGCAGGAGCCCTCATCAATCCTGGCTGAACCACACTGAGCCACAAGCTGGGCTGTTTATCGACCACATTCATCATCTCTCTATCTTGGTTAAATGCTGAGCCCCCAAAGGACAGCAATCATGTTCTATCTATTCTTTATATCCCTAGTGCTGGTAGATAATAGTATTCGTATTTACATAATGAATGAACTAACTGTAACTTTCTTACAATCTCAGTGAAACAATGATTTTTTAGAGTTATGTAACAAATATAAAGAAAACAATAAAGTCCCTATCTCCACCACCCAGAGGTACACTGTATCCTTTGTTGAACTTCATCCACTCATCCACGTACAGTCAACCTTCTAACTTTTTAAAAATTGCTTTAAGAGGTTTCTGCCATAGGGCATGTGCACTCATGAGAGAGAGAAAGAGAGAGAAAGAGAGAGAGGAAGGGAGGTGGGGGGAGATAGAGACAGTAAAATGGAAAGTAAGAAATTACTCCCCAGGGGAGATAACCACGCCACAGTCTCTTCCCCTCGGATCTTAGGCATGCATGCACAAATGCCTGGTGTGATTTTCAAGCCACCGGGTCTGGGACTTAAACCACAATCAGCCATATGGGGGTCCGGTGATGTAACCACCATGACATCTGCTGGCCCCTCTTAATGTTTTAAGTACAAGTATATAGTTTTACATCCTGTAACAAATAATTGTTTGAAAAACAAGTATACATACTTCTGAATATTGTTTTTGTTTTGCTTTGTTTGAGAGGCTTTTGCTATAGAACACGTGTGCTCACCAGAAAGACAGAGAGAAACGAAGAGACAGAAAGTGAGAAATCACCCCCGCAGGGGGGATGGCCACGCTGCAATCCCTTCTCCTCTCGGGATCTTGGGCACGCACACTTACGTGCCCAGCGTGAGTTTAAGCCACAGGGTCTGGGACTCAAACAGCAATTGACTACATGGGAGTCTAGCGATGTAGCCATTACGCCATCTGCTGGTCCCCTGAATATTCTTTAAAAAATACATTATACTAAATTTTAAAAGTAGACAGATGGAGAGGCCACCTATAGCTAGACTACCTTACCATCAGTACAGTCATTCACTGTAAACAATGTTTTGGTCAGTGACAGACTGCGTATAACAATGGTGGTTCCACAGTATTAGATGAAGGCCTACACACAGCCTAATAATGCCACAGGCTACCATCTAGGTTTGTGTAAGACACCCCGACTCTTGCACACACAATAAATTCACCTGATGACATATCCCTACTGTCGAGCAAAGCATGACTACATTCTAGTATACGTCCCTTTTCTATCGATTTGTCTCATGCGCATGTAGAGATGTGACGCGCTCTTGTGACAGTGTCCAGATAGGTGGCCTCAGATACCCTGGTACTTACTGTACTGCCTGCATTCCCCTTAGTCCTCGTATACAGTCAGGGAGGAGATCTTATGAATTAGGAGATAAGGCAACTAGCCAACTGCTCCACAGATTTATAAATAGTACACCGTAAATAAGTCCTTAAAAAAAAGAGTATGCCATTTATATGGTTGGAAAATAAGATCCTTCTTTCCATTTTTAAGCTCCTAATCAAAGTAGAAGTTGTTTTATTTATCTTGTTTGGAGTCACAGGGAATGGGGGAGCTGCCACAGCAAAAGTCACCCAAGCTCCCTCTGTCCCCCCTTCTTCCTCCTCTTGGATCTGATTCACATTCCAAACTTCGCCCCTGTCCAAAAGGAAAGAGTATTTTTAAACCCAAATGAATCTGTCAGCAACTCTGTTCAAGAAACAAAAGGAGGCTCCTGATGGTACCCAGAGAGTAACACGAAAATTCACTGTTAGCACTGTGAGGGCTGTTCTAAATGTTCTACTTAATATCCAATACACCTTCGGCCCTGCTTAGGTGACCTACATTCCGAAGGTATAAAATGAGATGTCCTAAAGTACCCCGAGATCTTAGAATGCAGAACATTCATGCCAAGAATGATGAAGGCATATCTGAATTAGTATTTACAAAACTTCCCACCACACAGACTATACACAAAGTATTTTCAAAGAGTGCTCTTATTTTAGAGAATTTAGCATTATTTTAAATTTAAGTATAAACTTATGAAGTATCTGACATTTAAAAATAAACTTCCAAAGGCAGAACAGTGTTAAATGAGGTGAATCTACTTTGGGGATAAATGCTATGATTTCATAGCAACCAACAAAGAATTAAATAATAGGGATTAAGTTAGGTTGTTATAATGTAATAGACGAATGCTACACAAAAGGGGGGAAATGGCTAGAATGCATTGCAAAAGATCGTATTCCCAATTAACAAGACCTAGAGACAAAGAAGACATGTGAGAGTCTAGCTTCCCTGACCAGAGAGAAAAGCTCTGACCTGAACAGAATATGGGAAGTTCCTCCTCTTTCCCCTTTTCTCTTCCAATGGCCTGTATCCTTTCCATTATTTTTCTAGTAGATGACATTAAAATTTGGAGTTAGTGTAATGGCTATGTTGCTGGACTCCCATGTGGTTGACTACAGTTCTAGTCCTGGACCTGGTGGCTTAAACTCATGCTGGGCACGTGTGCGTGCGTGCCCAAGATCCTGAGAGAATGGAGGAGAAGGGATTGTGGCATGGCCACCCCCCTCTGGGGGGGTATTTCTCGCTTTCTGTCTCTCTCTCTCTGTCTGGCGAGCACACGCGCCCTATAGCAAAAACCTCTCCAGAAAAAGAAAAAAAAAATTTGGAGTATACTACTTAGATGGTTGGATGTCTAAG